TCTTTCTTTCTTTCTTTCTTTCTTTCTTTCTTTCTTTCTTTCTTTCTTTCTTTCTTCTTCTTTCTTTTCTGATGGAGTGAGTGTAGGAGCAGAGGAAGAGAGAGAATATTAAACAGGCTCCACGCCCAGCACGGAGTTGGATGTGGGGTTTGATCTTGACCTGAGATCATGACCTGAGCCAAAATCAAGAGTTGGATGCTTAACCAACTTAGCCACCCAGGCGCCCTTCAAAAGGCTTTTCTCATTTTTTGTTGATGATATATAGAACATTATTTCTTGAATGTTTTTCTGACTTGGTTATATAAACTTAGCATTAGGCTATGCTCCAGTGGGTGCCATTTTAGGCCAAAAATTAGTTATCTGGCATCTCAGAGACTGGTCATTTTAATGATGAACCTCCCCCCACTTTTTAATGAAATGATTACACTGACTAGGTAAGTGTATATCATATGGCCTTAAAGATCCTTAAAACATCTATCTAGAAAAGCAGTACCTCTTTAGAAAGAGGCCATTTGATATATCATTTCCGTGTATTTCATTCAAATTTTCTCTTCCCAGGTCTTTCTTAATTGGTCTTGTTCACATTGATCCTGGATAATGCTGTTTGAACACAAATTCACATTTTGAGGCATCTTTAGGTTTTAAATTATGGTATTTCTGCAAATCAGCACAGAAACATATTGTAAGGAAACTTTTCTAGAAAACTACAAAACATTTTATATTAAATCCAAAATGAATCTTTTCTTTTCTGAATTTGCTTCACTTGGTACAAAATTTTTAGTTGTTTCTGTTTGTACAAACAGCTTTTTAAAAATAAACTGCCATACAAATTATTTTTCTTTCATTCTATGTTCATTTTGCCTAGCTCCCAGAATGCCAGTCCCTTTTATTTCCTCTTTTTTTCTTCTTTTCTGTTTTTGGTTACAATATATGTATTTGTGTTTTCTCTGCAATTTAGTAAATTCTATTGTACTTTTTTGGGGGGAAGACAGAAAAGAAAATTCTAATCAACTATATCGTTTCATTACTTTTCCTCTTTGCTACCTGTTTTGGACATCTCACTCTTTCATTTTCTTTTGTTACTATTTATTACAGAGGAGGTGTCTGCAAGGATAGTTCAAGTAGTCACGGCTGAGGCTGTAGCGGTCCTGAAAGGTGAACAAGAGAAAGAAGCTCAACAGAAAGATCAGCCTGCAGCTCTGCCTTTAGGTAAATGAGAAAGACTGGTTCAAGAGCTGTATCCGCTGCACCCTGATCGCAGGACCAAGGCTTCATGGTCAAAGAGAGGCCCTATCTCATACTTCATCCTTACATGGAACATTCATCAAACACCTCTGGTGGGAGACCCTGGCACCTATTTTCACCTGTCTTGACAGGCTCATTTGTAGTATTTGGACAGTCTTCAGGGTGATAAGCTTATAGTTAGAACTTACCCCTAAATTTCTCTTAAATTTTCATTTCTAGACCGCTAGAGATATTTTTTACAAAAATAAAGCCAATGCATATTGATGTCATGGCACCCACTTGTAAAGAAAAAGTGTTAATACCTTAATTAGAAATAAGTATTTCCCTTTGTGGGTTTTGGGGAATGCTGTGTCATTTGTTTGGGTCTCTCTGAACCAGCTACAGAAAACCTATAGTTGAGGGCTTTGTTAGAATCATGAGTGACTTTGTATCCCACATAATGTACTGGCCTTCACTTGGTCTATTTAAGAGCACTGAAATAGTATTTCTCTCTCTCTTGGTAGCAAGTCAGATGCCCTCCAGGGCCAAACTGGTAATATAATTGTGCTTGCTGAAGAAAACACTCCTAGCCAAAGGCTTGCTGCCCCTCCTTTAGATAGATGATAGATGATTGATAGATGATAGATAGATAGATAGATAGATAGATAGATAGATAGATAGATAGACAGATAGATGTGGGTGTATATACAGGCAGAGACAAGAAAGGAAACTCTCTTAGGTTCAACATATGTCTATTTTGTAGGTATATTCAACTAATCCATAGAAAGGTATGGTTTTTAAAGTCTGAAAAGAGTACATATCCAATTTTGTCTCAAATAGTCTAGTACCCTTAATATTCGATTTTCTGGTCAGTACTCCTTTAAGCAATTTAAACAAATAAAACATTAAGCAATAAAAATTCTGTTCTCCCAGGATAATAAATACTCATTATTTGCAGTAAAATGTTCTTTGATTATAAAAGTTTATTTTTCTCTTTAAACAGGGGAAAAATTATCTTATTCAAAACCTTCAGTTTGTGATTCACTTCTATACCTTAAATAAAAAACACACCCTTTCTTAAATTTGAAGCCTTAAAATATGTTCTATAGAAACCCACTGGGTCAAGGAACGAAGAAGTCACCTGTCATCCCAAAGTTACTTTTTGAGAGTGAAAAACACATGCTCTGTAAAATAGATTTTCCTGCTGGCCTTGATGATAAATATTTCCTTTTTGCAGTCCCTTACCTTCATATGAGTGGTCAAGAAAAAAGAGTTAACTGTGGATGAATGACATCTTTTAGAACTTTTCTCTTTGGTTCTCATGTATAATGCCAAGGCCAGAAGATTACTCGGCTCCCACTAGTACATATTGTCTGTTTGAAGGTTGCCTTAGGCTGTGACAGCTTCATTTTTCTTTTCTGAGAATACATACAGAAGACGCATTTTGACATTAGACTCAGTGGACAAAATGTTGTTTAAAAAATACATCACCAAAAAAAAAAAAAAAATACATCACCTATAATACTGTGAATGATGAAGGTTACGTTTGTTTCCAGACCAAGAAGTTGAACAATATAGAGTTCTGATATTTTTTTTCAGTCAGTCAAGCTAAATCCAAACTACAGTGCTTGCCTGTGTGTTTGAATATAGTAGATTAGGGCCAGAATAAAATAGTTTATTAACTGGACAAGCAGACACAATTAATGGGATTAATGATACCTTAGCAGGCATCTTTAATCCACTTTTGTAGGGAAGACAAAATGATTTTTTTTAAATATTAAATGCTTTTCTTTCCTTTTAGGTTTCTTAAACTATGTGAATCAGGTAATGGAACAGAAAATAAGTCAAGTGCAGATTACTAGTGAATCTTTTCCTAAATTTCATAGAGAGACCTTTTTACAGATGGCAGACCTGTTACACATCTCCTGGCCTAACAGGATTAACTGTATCTCATTTGTCCACTGTTTGATCTTTAGCAGCTGAAGAGACAGCTAATCTGCCTCCTTCTCCACCTCCATCACCAGCCTCAGAACAGACCATCGCAGTGGAAGAAGGTAAGGCCTAGTGGACTTTTTGAGGTTTGTCTTCTGATAAAGGGTAAACTAGCATCAATCCATAAGCAGTGGACTTCAGTGTGGGTTAGCATGTGACCCAGCTTGAGAGCTGTCTGTTTCAAACAGTCCAGAAGACACAGACTTTACACAAATGTATAGTCATTTATCTATACAAAAATCAGAAGTAGGGGGAATATGATAAATAAAAAAGAAAAAATCTGCTTGACCCAGGAGAAGATAACTTTGTGTTTAAATTGCTAGAATAGCTACAGAGAAGCAGTTCACTTAATTAATATAAAATGTTTTGACACAGAAGATAGAATCCTATCTTATAAGTGACTGAACAAAAATAAATTTATTGATGAAATCATAAGGAAATGTTGTCGGGAATTGTCTCTGTTTTGCTTATTACTGTGTTGCCAGGGGCTTCCCTAAGGCCTGGCCCGTAGCAAACTGTCAGTAAATATTAATGAATAAATGAAGAAGTCAGTGTATGACTCTGATATTGGGAGCAGTGAACTAGAAGCTGAGATCATGGCTTCTTCCCTGAGGAGACCTGTTATTGTCCATGAATATATTTATGCACTTAGTCAACATAGAATGCTATGTCAGCTTTTCAGTTCTCATTAATAAAACAGAGGGATGCCTTTGAAGAATATTCATTCAGAATCTGAGCTGAAAGGCACTATTTAAAAGCAAACTATTACTGGTTTTCTGACTTAAGTCTGTTAACTTTTGCATATTGTTTGAAGTACAGAAGGCAGAGAAGAGCCATAGCTAAAGTGTTGTTTCAATATAATTTAGTTTCCATATACTAAAATCAGAATTTTACTACTATTCCATCTTTTTCATTTATTTTTTCATTTTTCCATTTGTTGCCCCTTTTAGCTATTATTTTACTGTTAAAAATTGAAAAGCATCAAAAGACAAAAGACTCACTGTCTTTTTATAATTTGTAATTAGTTTCATTTAAAATACTCTTTGACTTCCTAAATACAGATGTTCCTAAATTATAGAACTATGAACTCTCAGTAAACATAATTTACTTTTGTCACAGATTTATAAACCTAAACTTCTTTTAGCGAGCTTTTTCTTTCTTAAGTTGAAGCTTTTTTCCTAATTTACTGCCTGAAATAATGTTAGCTGAACTAAATTATTCTAAAGAATAAAAGAAAATTTGGGGACTATAATCAGTGGCAGTTATGATTATTAGTTAATTTCCTGAAAGTGTGATTTGATCTTTTAGTTTGCAGATTTGAAAGATTTTTTGCCTTCATCCATTCATTGGCACTTCTTTATGAGCACCTACAATACGCTCTTTAAATTCTAGCTATACACTTGTGAACAAAACAGACATGATTCCTGCTTGTAAGGAACACACAGTCTGGGGGAGAACAGAAAGCCAGTAAAGAAGCTTACCAATAATTTCAACTTGCATTAGCCTTAGGAAGGAAAAGGACAGAGAACTTGAAGATAGGACAAGGGAAATCTTAATTTTGGGGGTGGTGAGGAGACGGGTAAGGAGCTGAGCTCAGGAGCATGAGGAAGAGTTGGTCAAGCAAAGATGGAGGGAAAGGGCTTTGGGACAGAAAGACCAGGACATGCAAGGGGACTCACGTGAGCAAGAACATAGAGTTTTCTAGGAACTGAAGACATCCCATGGCTCCTGGGAAGTGAGAAAGGGGTAGAGTAGCGAAAGGGTTTAAGAGTCAGCAGTATGCGCCTTGGTTCGGGAGTCTCGTTTTCACCTGGAAAGCAGTGGAAAGCCTTCCATGACAGCTGTACATCCCTCCGGTCATTGAAAATGTCTCTAAACCCCCACTTCAAGCCTTTCAGAGAATCTTCTTAACCCAAGATGTTCACTGGGTCCGGCGTTCCCTCCAGAGTCAGCTGGAGGTCAAGTCACTTACCCTTCTTGCTCTCATATGGGAGTTGGAGCACAAGGAGCAGCAGGGTCTGCCCATCCACCTGGGAATTCACCCAGTCCGCTTTCTGGCAGGTGGTATCATGGATATAATGAAAATACAAATAAACCATGGTATCATTTTCACATTTTGGTACACCTTCCAGAATAACTGTTTCCTTATGTTGGGGGATTGCTTTCCCCGTGTTGTTTGAGTATATTTGGGGAAAATTTCAACTTACGTCCTATTGAAGATGATTGAAGATATTTTATTCTTAACATTTTTCAAACCAAACTTGTATGTTCATTGAATCATTATTTTTCATGTTTTCAGAAGAAAGCATTAAACTATATGAAGGCCTAATGATTTGCTTTTAAAAGGATAACCATTTTTTTACTTATATGAAAAAAGTATGTATTTTATAAACTCTACCTCATTAATTTAAAAGACCAAGTAATATTATTACCTTACATATGTGAAAGACATGAGTCTAGATAATCATACTAGCCCCTGTCTTATTTTAGCCCACTCTTAAAGCATGTACAACAATTTTTTTAAGTTTTATTTATCATAAAATGAATTAAGTGAAAAGTCACACGACAGGATTCAACTCTTCAGGTTTTCAAACCAATTGGTTTACAAAGACCTAGGAAAAATTCTATTAATGTATAGCTCATAGCAGTTTGAGTGGGAAAGGAACATGTAGGTTTTACATCTAGGAGATTTTTTTTACCTACTTCAACACATCCTCAAAGAAGCTTTAAAGGCACATGACTGCCAATCCATTTATACAAATGTAAGACAGCTCTTGGATTAAATCGAGTAATTCAATGATTTTGAGGATATGATTACTTTTTATTAATTATCAAACCTTTTAAAAAGCTGTTCTTTCCCAAAGGGGAAGCATGAATGCTTCCACCAAAGATAATTGGAGATGTTAATTACTGTAAGTTGTAAATATTCATTTGTTATAGTGATGTAATATTAATAATTCCCAAGTTTTGTGCTTATTCTGGGAAACAAAGAGATTTTGATGGAAAAAAGAAACAAGTAGCACACTTAAAAGGAAACTCAGGTACAACGCATCAGTCCTGCACTAGGTGTGATATTTGCAAATTAATCTCCTGTTTCTTTTCGGCCTAACCATAATAGTTGTCATTTGGACTGAACTGTTAGGATTTGGAAGCCCGTGCAAGAACAATGGAATCATCTGAAAATAGAACGAGGAAACCTTCTGCCCTCTTAGGTTTGCTCTAGAATCCCAGGGTGATTTTTCCTGAGTCAGAGATGTCACTAATCTGAAAGCATTTTCCCCTCCATATCCTTCTGGGCAGCAAACACAGTTGGCAAACTAGGTCCTCAGTCAAAAGCCTGCATCATGAAAAGGACTTAGAGAGAGTGGAGAACAATGTAAGCAGAGCCAGTTGCCCCAGACGGTGGGGCAGAAGCTGTGATGCCAAGGCAGGCAAAATCACTGAGTCACCCAGAGACTCTGTCTTTCATAAAAGTGACTGCTCATTTGTACCAAAGGGGGCTGACAGACCAAGGCTGGGTTTTATGTGGTAGACGTTACTTTAACTCAAAATAAATTTTCAAATGCTTTTTTTAAAAAAATCATATAAAAATAAGTTAGGGGAAATGTATTCCACCACTGAAATCAGGTAAGCTTCATTTTTAAAGATTATCATTATGCAGCAGAACTATGCAAAAGTCCAAGGTTCATAAGGCAACCCTATCCTTTAAAATATCACATTATTAAATAGAATATTTCATGGTGAAAGCAGAGTCCCCCAAAGCATGTGTACTTACAGTAAAAGGACGACATTCAATCCTGACCTTAAACAACAAAACTAACTTATGAAATGAATTCACTTTTTGCAAATCTCTCAAGTCTAAATTTGACGTCTCCAATGGAGGGAAAGCAGAGGTGCATGACAATTTGTCTGAGTATATTGAAGACAAAGATGCTAACACGCATGGAGTCCAGCATTGTGCTTGGCACTTTCTCAGATCTCTCCTCATTTAATCCTCCCAGCAACCCACAGAGTAGATAATACTCACTTCCACTTCTTGCCCCTGGATGTCGTGGCCAGTAATCCAGAATTCCAGTCCAAATTTCAGTCCCTGCAATCACACCCCCACTGTGTCTCTAAAGCCATCTCTTATCTAGGTTCTTAAATTGGGGCCAAGAAAGGGAAATGATCTTCCAATGAGAGTTTTTTTGTTGTTCAAGGTACTAGACCAATTTCCTTTTTTTTGAAAGCATACTCAAATACAGAATTCATTACTTATAACTGGTATGTATCCCACCTCCATTGGGATGCCATTCATGATTCTATAGCAAATAGGATCTATTTCTTCTGTCATTATTTTGGAACCAAGCACACTGTTTGGTCTTAGCTAGCTACGGTCCTCTTAGTAGAACTTCCCTAGCACATCTCTGGAACTTGCAGATGGACTTCAGGCTCATAGGTCCCAAGCAGAGACATGGAGCACAGACAGCTCATAGTACCAAGACTGGGCTTCGCCGTCCATTCTTTTTTAAGTTGCTTGGCTCAGTGCCATACAAATACTACAAAGAAGCTCCTTTCCACTGCAGCCCTTAAAGTTTTTTGCTCTTTTTGTTGTCCTCTGTTTAGAGTAAAAGTTTCCAGAATAGAAAATACTGTTTCTTTGAAATGTTACAGATCTGAAGCAAGACTCTGTGCTGTTTTCCCATGTTGGCACTTACAGAAATGAGCAATGGCAACAAGAAAGAGAAAGTCAAAATCTTCAAAAGGTTCAAACATCCAAGGAGTATTGCCTTTAAACTCCCAGCTTTCAGCTTCAGATTCTTTAGTTTTATACTGCAGTCGGCTCTACTCCCCAGAAGATGTTAACTATGCCATTTTCACGGACTGATTGTCCATGCAATCTGCTGAGCCTATTGGAAGTTTTAGGAGTAACTTGCATACATGCATATGTGTTTAGGGCCTTAAGGAGTCCTGGGGGAAATATGAATGGCTAGGACATGTGACAAGCCCAGGGCTTATGATTCAGCCAGTATTGTAGGCCAGATCTCAGCCAATTATCTGTTCAACTGAGAAATCGTGCCGA